GATACAAAGGAAAAGCAAAATGAGCAGTTTAGTAGTAGAAATATTAATCAGATGGTATGCCATGTATTTAAAAAATAAAAACAAAAGGTTTAGTGAACTTATGCAAAGATCTATTAAATGCATCTGAAAATGCCCATAAATTAACAAAGAATCATGCCTGAACTAGTTAACGATATACTTCCCACACAGAAAGTCAAGTGATCTTATACAAAGACCTGTGACTAATTACTCAGTAACTAGACTTTATACAAATGTCTAGGTATAATTGTTTACCAGAAAGTATACCCATAAGCTAAAAATTTCTAATTTTTTAACAAAAATAGAAGCAAATGATCTAAAAGATTTTCTTGGCTACAAATCACAAAACAATAACGACACAAATGAGACTCATCAGGGTTCAGATTATTGTTGAGATGTAACTTACCTGAGAATAGATCTGAAGAGAAAGAGAATTTGTGCAGAAGACATCCAATCAATATTRTTGGTCCAAGGGTCCCCTGGAATACTGCCAAGCAGAGGTCTTTAAAACAATCACTGTAACCCCTACAGAACTGTTAAAGAATGATGAGATCACCACTTAGAGCCTGAGTTAAAATGTAAAAGGTGAATTTATAGCTGATTATAGTAAGGTGAGTTTGCTGCTCAATCTTTCTGAATAGGGCAGACTGCTGATCTTATACAAGATAGGGTTTTGGGAGAGCATGAAGATCAGGGATTGGTGTGCTTTCCTAGATGTGTGGACTGACATCATCTGCAAAAGCATGCCTATTTGTTGATTTGTTGGCATACTGAGGTATATTTAATGGGGTGAGTTCATTCCTGATTGGTTAGTATTCATAAGTGATGGCCGATCCTTTGGCTTGTAAAAGATTGTTAACAAGTGGGTTGTTATTGATTAAGTCAAATGGTTTTWAACTGGTTTTGGTTACTATGAGTGAAGAACAATCAAACTTTTCCCAAGAATATGGGAACTATTTAATATTCTCAAAATTGATACCTACTATTTGTTTTCATTAGGGTATAGAGTGAGATAGTATCTGATGTAGTACAATATTATGTATTTCCTTATTTTTTATTTTATTTTTATTTTTTGTTTTGGTACTGGGGATTAAACCCAGTGATGCTTACCCTCTGAGTCACATTAAGGTCTGGCTAAGTTGCTTAGGGCCTTGCTAAATTTCTGAGGTTGGCCTTGAACTTTTGATCCTCCTGCCTCAGCTTTCCAAGTTGCTGGGATTCCAGGTGTGCACCACCATGCACAGYATGATTATATATTTATTTATATGAGTAGGTAAGAGTTTTGTAGTGTTTTGTAAAGGACAAGAGTAACTAATAGGTGTTTCACTTGATCAGAGTTGAGAACTGTGTGTTCAACCACTATGTAGGGTATTTTATGTAAAAGCATTAGTTAGATGTGCTTAATCAATAAATAATCTTAAAATATAATATTTTGGTAATAATGATGTCATTGACTGAAAGTCTACTATCTGTTAGGTACTGCTCTAAGAATTGACATTTAGCATCTTATTTAATAAGCAAAATTATCATTTAAAGACGATACCTTCTGTAGGTAGGAAAGACTRTAACTTACGGCAGAGTTTAAGTAACATTTCCAAGGTTTCAAGAGCTAGCAAATAGGGGAGCCTGGAGTCAAACCCAGGCAAATCCAAGGGGTCTGATTTGACTTCTTTGTTTTCCAACCTGACTGATTGCAACATATAACAAAGTCACCAACTATCCTTTTTTCCTGGACATTCTACTTCTACTAAGAAGGAATTAATTTGTTGTAGCAGTCCAATTACAAGCTCTGGTTGGCTTTAATGAGCTTGTAATCACTGAAAATTTCTAGGTCTTTTTCATATGATCTTCTGCTAAAATAAGCCTTCCTAATTCAGTGGTCATGCAATTGACTTTCTTGGACCTAAATTCTATACCGGATCTTCTTCCCTATTCAGTATCAATTGGTTTACATACATGCCTGGTTCCAGCTTGTTATTTTGAATCCTGACTGCTATYCCAGCTCTGTGTCACCAACAGAACTGTTAAGTACACCTTCGGTCACCGTTCTTACTTGTTGATAAGATTGCCAAATAGAATAGAACCAAGGACAATTAGTGCAACTACTAATGAGTTTGATTGCAACCAGACATTATCTTATGAGATAAGATAGACATATACATCAAAACCTTGATTCTGAAAATATCAGGCAAAACTTTTCTCCTTACTTACCTCTAATTGAGCATTTCTCAACCTCAGCCATGTTGACSTTTTGAATTGGAGAATTATTTGCTGTAGGTGGCTGTCTCATGCATTATAAGACCTTTAACAGCATCCCTGGTTTCTACCCACTAGATGACAGCAGTGGTGTCCCTCCTGCCACCAGACAACCAGACCTGTCTCTAGACATTGTCAAATGTGAACTGTGAGGACAAAGTTGYTTTTCTTCTGTGTACAACCACTGCTATAACTGTACAGATGAATTGATTAAACAACCAACTATTTGTTAAGAAACTACTATTTGCCTAGGACTTGGTGATTTCTATGAACACTGAAAAAGACATGGTCCTTGACCTTGGGGCCATGAAAGACATTACAGAACCCCCAAAACAACTGGGGAAAAATAGCCCCCTACTGAATGACCCAGTAGGAAATCCAGACTGTATTACCTGTAAGAATTCAGAGCAATGAAAAGATCAGTGAGGATAGAGAAATTTTCATAGTTCAGACATGATTGGGTTGGGTAATTTGAAAGTGAGGAAACATGCCGAATGTTTTCTCTGATATAAAGGTGACTGACCCATAATGAGGTAGGGAGGGAGAGCATGGGAGGAATAGAGAACCTCTAGATAGGGCAGAGTCTATGTGGGAGGGGAAGGGAGTGGGCAGGGGGTTAGAATGATGGTAGAATGTGATGGACATTATTATCCAAAGTATATGTATGAAGACATGAATTGGTATGAACATACTTTATATACAGAGATATGAAAAATTGTGCTCTATATGTGTAATAAGAATTATAATGCTTTTCACTGTCATGTATTTAAAAAATAAAATCAATTAAATATTAAAAAAAGAAAGTGAGGAAACATGGGGCATTAACTTCTAAGTAAGTATATATATATGTATGTATGTGTATATATATATATTTTTTAAGGCATCTATATTTTAATATATAGGCAAGCTCCCAAATACAGGTATTAATTACCATCTATACCAAAAATCAGAGCACATAATTTGATATATAGTTTGACTGTGGGCAGATCTATTTAAAATTCTACCTCTTGGAGAATTTGAAGTATGTGATTTCAGAAGGCGCAGAGACTGTGGGTGAGAGTACATTGAGGTGGGAAGAGTAATGTGGATGGAGGTGCCAAAGACCAAAAGGGAGCAGGATACCAGATACCAGAGTATCCTGCTGAGTAGTTTGAGAAATCAGTGGAGGTGGGAGGTGGGAGCAGATCATTGAGRCACTGAAACCTGGCAGGGGAGATTAGTCTGATGTTTCTAAGCCAAAGAGCAGCAAGATGAAAGGTATTGAGGGAAGACAGTCTGGCAATGGGTTGGTGTAGGGTGAACATGCTAGACAGAAGTAGGAGATAGTTTGAGTTATTGAGAGCTGGACAAGGTGGTGATTGAATGGGCAGAGGAGTATGAACAYAGAAGAGGTATTTTGGAATGGAAGGATTAGATTGGATGAATTCCTAGGAAGATTCTGGACATTTAAGATTAGGCTCTGCCTCAATATGAGGTCAAATATCCCATATAGTAAACAGGAAGAACAGTAGTGTCACTGACATTATTTTCCTCTAAAACTACAAATATTTTTTTTCCTTGATTAATCTCAACACATTCCTGCTACTCTTTCCTTTGGGATGATAAGAATAGATATTAGGGAGAGCTAGTATTTGATCAAGTCCAGGAATGTTGGGTGGAATTTGAGCTAGCAGAAATAAATAAAATGCAGTGTCTATATGTGTACAGGGATGGTTTGGGGGTTAGCTGAATCAGGTTTGGCAAAAATGCATGGCCATTAATAGCAGTAGTCAAGCATCTGTCCCCAGTTAGGATAGGCAATATTAACAGTCCAGAAGGGAGCATCAAGCTGTGCCCAAGCCTGTGTAGGACTGAGTCCTACAGAGTTTCTGAGTTAGTTCTTGTSACAGAGAAAACTTGTCCCTGGAGGAAGAGGACTCAGGTCTGTGACAATCATTATTTTCTTTCTAACCTAGAACTTAAGTTCCAGAATTTAAGTTCCTGGGGAGGAAGGCTGGGTAAAGCAAGACTCCTCATCTGATAAGGTGTTCTTGGGAGCTTGCCTCTTCTGCTACCAGGTAGTTAGTTTCCTTCTTTCTCCCAAACTCCCACCTTCTCTTTCTCTTCTCTTCCATTCTCTCTTTTCATGAAAATATAGTTAGGAAGAAAGAGATATCAGCAGCTATGGTAAGGAACCCCCAGCACACAGGTGTAAGGAATAAACATGCTTGGTTTTGGTTTTAGCCCTGGAATTCATCAGTTATCTCCATTAGCTTTTTCTAGGTCAGAAATTGACTTATTTTCTGATCTTAAAATACTTCTGGTGGGACTTATAAAAACTTCGCTTTCTATCTGAAATGGGAAGCAAAAATGAGTCCTCAATATGTATGTATAATAGTAATATAAGAGTCCCCATGAAGCAAGGGTCCAAAGCTGTTCAGTGTACAGTACTCAGGGGAGACCTGTCACCAGCGTGCCCACCCTCCAYGCTGCCCATTCCAGGTCACCCCATCTTTCAGGAATTAAATTATGTGATACAGTATAAAACGTTTTTATTTCAAAATGCAAAATGGTGTTCATTATAATAATAATAAAAATAATAATAGTACAAAAAGCATTTCACCTTCTTCCCTAGTGCAAAATGATAGATTCTCAGATAGCTTACAGATACACAGTTTTGAATATATTATCACAACACAGTGCTGCATAGCAGCAAAACTCAATCCCAAACTCCTTTTGGTGGATCCACGTGGCAGGTCAGTTCTAGGTGTCAGTGACTTCTCTCAAAGGGCACATGGCTCCTCTTGTCTCCCATTTGAGTCAGGATCTGTCTGTCTGTCTCTTGTCTGTCTGTCTTTCTGTCTGTCCCCCCTTCCCTTCTGCTGATCTGGAGTTCCTAGGAGGCATGCTGCCGGTGGGAGTGGGCCCGGCAACCGAGCAGGGCTTCCTCTGGCTGCTTGCCTTTCTCCAGCAGGGCTTGCCTGCGTTGGGCCTGTCGCTCCTGAGCGCCCCTCAGCTCAGCCTCCATTGCCTCCTCGTCCCGCAGACGGCTAGCGGCTGTGAAGGGGCTGCACACTGTCTCCATCAGGCCCAGCACCACGCTGAAGAGGGCCAGCACGCTGCCCAGCACGTACAGCTTGACGAGCTTCCCCTTGGGCTTCTGAGACATCATCTCCTTAGCCAGAGGAATCAGCTCCTGGACTGTTTCCATTTTGGGCTCGGGCTCTAGCGAGTGGGTTACCTGCAGGAAGAGTGGAGAAGAAAAMGTGGAACCTTTAGTTCCCCAAGGTGGCTCCAGCTATCCTGGGCACCCCTCCCTYGGCTCTCTTGGGCAAGGCCTCCCCGGGACAGTGCGCCCAGCCCTTGACCGGGTCTGCGTGCCCAGGCGGGCTTTACCTTGGTGGCGCAGCGCGAGCAGCAGGCAGCACGAGCTGGGGCGGCGGCGCAGCGGCGGTCAGCGCGTCGGTCTGTCCGGCTGGCCTTGGCGCTTTCCTTCTCCGCGGCTGCAGCTCTTCCAGAAGGAGACTCCGCAGCTGGCGCCTAGTCAGCGTCTCTGGGCCGCTTATATCTTTTGCCGAAGACCCGCCTCCTGGTTTGCTGGCCCCGGCCAGCGCTGCACAAGCCAGAGAAAGGAGGGGGAGGAAGAAGGGGGGAGGAAGAGGAGGGGGGTGTGGAACCCCCGCAGAAACCTGGCTGGAGGTGGCCACGAGCTGCGCACGACCTGACTGTGTGAGCTGGGAGACCCTGGACCGGGCTGCTGCAGCGTTCTGGGCGGGAGAGCAGGTCTGCACGCCAAGTCCCTCTTGGGGCAGCTGGAAGGACCTAGAGAGGTGTCCGCATACATTTCTGACATGACACTTTATAGTGGCGTTGGTAGATGTACAGCTTTTCTGCCTGATCRGCTTTATTCAAAGGTGCCTGCATTGCTAGAGCCACTTAACAGAACACTAATCATTGAGGGTACCTTTTATGCGCAGAGGTAAGGGTATGTAGTGGGGTGGGGATAAATCCCTTTACCTGTAGGGTCTTTCTATGGAACAGCCATTAAATCCAAGTTGTCCTCCCTCCCATTTGAAAAATGATAACTTCATTAGGGGAGGAATGGCATGGAAGGGGGCTGCTAGTAAAAAATTGTCTGCTCCTTTAGAATGAAAATATTTCATTCAATGATTCTCTGCCACTTCCCTGGATCTGGAGGTACAAGTTCACTGTGCCAGCTCAGCTGTATCATAGAAGCAGTATAGGGCAGGAGGGGGTGAAGTAGACAGATTGAGTAAGAAACCAGTATCCACTCATGGAAGTTTGAGACTATAGKATTCAAATTTTGTCCCTGCATTCCAGATATCATATTTTCCCTATTTATAGCATGGCTTATATGAATAAAAGATACCATATTGTCCCAGAGTTTTATTTATAGGATAATCTAGTTTCATTCTTAATGATAATAAAGAACATTTAAGCTCTAGATCAYGATTTTCAACTTATTTTAATGCACCCATGTCAATTTCATTGAAATATTCCCAGAATTGAAAACTTAGAACTTAATGGGTTGATTTGACTAGGATTAAACATAATGGGCTGCAGGGTGGGGGGGCAGGTTGGGTTCTAATTTAGCTTTGGTTATTGATATACCAGATAATTCTCAAAGTGGGGGGAAAGGAGAAGAGAATAGGCCAAAGGGCTTTAAACAGGGACAGGGAGAAGATGGGGGAGGAGTGGGGAAAGGCATGGGCCAGAAAATTGCAAAGGTCACTGATGCAATCTTGCAACAGCCTTCACAGTCCAGTCTGTCTGGCTGAGCCTCACTGAGCTCYGCTACAGTGGAAGGGGCTGCCTTACTTGGGTGGGTCTGAGGTATTCCCCAGATAATTCAGTCAAAAAAGGAAATCATAACAACTCTCTTTTGCTTTGGCTATTAGTAATTCAGGTGAGGATTTGTGAGTCAAGGTTACCTAAATAATAGCTGATTATTATTATTATTTAAATAGCTGATTTAAGATTTGCATTTTAATCTGTACACATGCAGTCAAAGTGACCAGGGGTCAAACGGGGATTATCCCTTTAGGACTCTRTCCCCTGACTATTGGTCTTTTAACCTAGACCAGCAGGAAAATTCTGAAACAAGAATCAAGCCAAGTCTTGATATTTTCTTTGAATCTTCCTTATAACTTCGTAGCATTCTCTAATAACTGGCAGAAATGATTTGGGAGTGTTCCAAGCATGGTGGCTCCTGGAAGAGTGTATGATGTGACCTTGATTTGAAGGCCCTCCCCTGGTTTTCATTCTGAAGGTGAGTCAGGCCAGCTTCCGGCCCAAAACTCCGAAATGGGGCAGAAAGCATTTCCTGGGTTTCTGTAACTCGAAGACGTAAAGCATACCTCTTACATGGTCAGCAGGCTGTCACTTCTTGGGGGTTCCCCTTTAGCGTGATCTGCTGTGTTAGGGCCCAGCACCAGTTCCCATGAGCTTGCTTCTTTTTCTCTTTGTCTGGCTTTGACCCCCAGATCTCCACTCCCACCATGCTACCTTGCTGGGCAGAAGGTGCAGCAATGCCGTGGATTAAGGTCACAGGGAGATTTGGTGTTGCTGGTTTAGGTGGTAATTGCGGATCAGTAGAAGGTCTTAGGAGTAGAAGGTCAGGGAATCAGGGACAATTCATGCCTAGGAATTTTGAGCATCCCTTCTCTCTCTCAGCAAGGAAAGAGGACCCAGTTCCTGCKATGGCGGGGTGTGGAAGGTTAGGTAAGGCTTGGGAACCAAAAAGGTGTCTTGACCCTGCTGACGTCACTTTTAGAGAAGTAAAACATGCGTTGCATCACACATAGGCACATATTACAGCTGTGAAGGTCAGACCAAGCCTGAGGGTGGCCAGTCCTGTGCTCAGGGTGGAGGGATTTTCTGAGATGTACTATTTTCAGTGTTAAAACTGAGTCAGTTCTGAGCAGAGAATTACCTGTATTAGTCCATTTTTTTTTGTTGTTGTTGTTGATACCACAGACTGGGTAAATTTTAAACATAGGAGGTTGATTTGGGCTCATRGTTGTGAATTTACAAACATCAAGGAGCCGCATGTGGTGATGACCTTCTTCCTGGTGGAGTCCTCATATGATATAGGACATTGCATGACAAGAGGCAGGGAGCATGTGTGTGAACGTGTGTCTCTTCTGGTCTCTCTCCCTAATCGTAAAAGCCACCAGGATTGAATCATGGGGGCTCTACTCTAATGACTTTATGTAATTTTTTTTAAATGTTTTTAGTTGCCCATGGACCTTTATTTTATTTACTTATTTATATGTGGTGCTAAGATTCGAACCCAGTGCCTCATACACATTAGGCAAGTGTTCTACCACGAAGCCACAACCCCAGCCCTTTATCTAATCTTAATCACCCAAAGCCCCACCTGTAGATACCGTTTTCAGATTAACACCCCTGATAACTCACAATGGGGATTCAAAATCAACATATGAAACTGTAGCGGACTACAAATATTAAACTGTATCCACACCATAGCACTACCCTTGAGTCTATCAACATTTAATTCTTGCCCTTTCTAGGAATGCTGGAAGGACCAGTTTAAAATTTATTTATTTTGCTTTTCAAATTCTTTCTCCTACACATTAAAACACCCACAGCCATCTGTAGAGGAAGAAAATCACAAAGAGGCAACGTGGTCTAAGGGGTAAGCGCCAAAGAGGAAGAGCTGTCCCTAATACGGGGCCTTGGATATTGAAGAGACAGGGGACAGAGGTCTTTAAGTAGTTTATTGTGTATGAACCTCAATTATTAACATTGTTATTTTGTTGATGGATGGTTGCTGCCTGCACTAAGTCACTCCTCACCCCTGGAATTCCAGGAGGCTGGAGGCAGGGGGTCATTATGGAGATAGGCAAAAAAAAAAAAAAAAAAAAAAAAAAAAAAAAAACCAAAAATATTTATTTTAAATCCATTTTTTTAAAATTGCTTTAATCCTTGAGTTTCTTTCATTTCCTATAAGTCAATTTTAGAGAGAAGACCTTATCACTCAAATATCAATGGATGATTGTGTGTGTGTGTTGAGGGGGGCACTTACGCCCACGGGGGCTTACAGGCACACGGGATCAAACCAAAGGACTTGCACATGCTAAGCACATGCTCTGCTACTGAGCTACACCCCCAGCTCTCAATGGATGATTTTAAAATTTACACATATAACCTTACTCTCCTTTAGTCTTATAGACTAGTTTTGGAGTTTAGATGTTTCTGTCTGTTATCACAGACTTGACACACTTTTAAAACAACACTCTTCACCTTCTCTGTACTCTTTCAAACTAAATCCTTTTCTTAGTATCTTTATTTCTTGCAGTGTCAACTCCATTTTATTGGTTCCCTGGGCTTGAAATGTTGTGTMCATTTTTTGGTGAGGCCTCTGACTACTCCATTCCACCAGTCTCTGCTCAATGTTCTGCTGTGTTTATCTTTACAGCCCTTGCTACCTGACTGGATGTTGATAGAGCAATGGGAGTGGTTTTTATATTGCCTCTCACATCCAATGGAGGATAAATTTCACGAGGGCTGGAACTTTGTTTTGCTCTTCATTGTGTCCCCAGTACCTAGTACAATCCTTGGCACATAGTAGGTTCTTAACAGATAACTGTTGGATTGGTGRATGGGCTCTGCAGTGGACTGGGAAGCATGATAGAGGGGGGACTATGTTATATTCACTGCAGTCAGTGGATACTCAAGAAGACAAGCTTCTGGATTTTGGATGTCAAATTTGCATGACCTAATATTTTCGAAGATCTCTTTGGCTGATCTTCCCTACCCATTTAGCTTTAGCCCCCATTCTTCTCCCATAATAACCCTKTGTTCCACAGAAGAGTTTCTTCTCCGACCAAGAAATAATTCATTCTTGTTTCTGCTGAGGACAATGCTCAGCGATTCTCCCTGCTCACTTGTGCTCACTCTGCTCTTCTTCACACTACCTAAAATGCTGCCCTCTCTCTTTTGTCTTCCTGCCTTTCCTGAGGCCATGTCCAAGTTCATAGGCTCTGAGAATCCATTAGCTATGCGAGCACACCTTSACCTCTCCTTTCTTTGAATTTCAGCCGGCTTTGCAGTTGCTCCTGCCCRGGTTGGCACTGAAATGCATACTGAGTTTTACAGCTGGCTCATTGTTTCTAGTGGGCTTGCCTCATCTCAGCGGAAGATAAAATCCCTCATGGTGCTAATGTATAACAGGGGTCCAAGCAGTTACATTGACCTAAAAAGTTGGACTAGGATACATATTGCAAAATGACCAGTTAGGATTCTCTTGGGAGGTTTATTTTAGGCAGAGTGGCCTGTCCTTGGCTCAGAGCCCTGGGATTTGAAATTGCTCAAGACCTGGCAACTTGGCTCAATTTCCTCAACTTTGTCCTCCTCACCTTTCACTTCCACTCATAATTTAGTGTCTGGCATTGCAGTCATTGGCTCACTCTGGGCTCCCCTTCCAGATTGCCCTGGGACAAATCTCTGAGGAACAGACCCTTCATAGACAATTAGCATTTGACACCGTGGCT